CATCATCGACATCCATCCCGTCATTGTCACTGTCACTGTCTGCCACGGCAGAATTATTCTGTACTGAACCTTGCAGTAAATCCTCCAGATCCCATAGCTACATCCACAGAAGAGGGGGAAATAATTGAGCACCGTAACTTTCTAATGTGTATCAAGATGACTTTCGAATCTACTGCAAAAGTTTATCTGAGACAGAGAGGGGAGTATGCACCTTTAATGTCTGATCATGGTATATGCTGCCAAGAAACTTTCTATCATGAGAAAAGGCTGTAACACCAAATTACACAAGTCAGAGATACAATATCTAAATATTGTAATTTACTATGATTACAACTTATTGACACGTATGAATGGTGATTTTGTGAACGAAATAAAGGACATGAACTCGTTTCCTCGAGTAAATAGAAAAATGAAAAATTAATTCTCTCCCTGAAAAGGTTAAAAGAAAGTCATACCAAGACGCTCCACGGGATATTCCGAATGCTCTGCAATTGGCTGAATTATTCTGTTTGGCAATATGCCTATCAAGCTAAAGAGAGAATAAGAAAAATTTGAGTTCAATCTACAGAAGAATTCATAAATCAATTGGATAAACTCTTCCTGTTCTGAGGAAAAATATTTCACCTGATTATTCCATTCTCCGATCCAGCTATTACTCTATCTTCATCAAGCTTAAGCCCAAAATCAGGGATAGAAGAAAAGGTGATTGTTAGGGTTCAACAAGGTAACTGCCTGATAAAGCATAAGAAATATTACACCATAATAATGAAAAAACACTTACCTTCAGCAACGCATCAACAGAGTTAGGAGAAAGATCAACGAAGCGATCACTAAAAATTGACAAGACATATAGACCATCAGAAATACAATCAACCACTACCCTTGTATTACTCACCAAGGATAAAATTTACAACTTTATTTGATATTTTGTTAGACTACAATTGTGCCAATAACAAGGATACCTGCAATCCTTGAAAAATCCCCATGAATACAATAACAGGGTTCCAGTCTGTGTCCCACATATAACCTTTCGACCATTCTAGTCACACAAATAAACAGTTAGACGCATCTAAACTAGTACCAAATGTCTAGTTTTTTCTAATAATAAGCAATCAAAGCAAGTATTCCTGTTGTTTTATTGGCCTATCTTTGAATGAAATGGGTAAATTCAACCTTCATGATCACCACAGAGAGAAGCTCATCCTCAGAAAACTCTGATCGAGTTTGAATCTGAATTCAGATAATACAATAGAGATTTAGTTATCTACTGAAATAAGTTGAAGGCTGGACAAAAGATAAATTGGCTAAAGGCATGGCCACTGAATAAAACAGGAATTTAAAAACACGAAATGCTGAATCAACAAAAAGAATTACCTTGTTGCTTCTCAGATTGCAAACAGATAGAGTTCCATCACCACTGAAGCAAAAGAGACATAATTAGAATATATTAGTCAAGTCCATAGAAACATTCAGTGCAGGGGATGCACTGACTAAAAGTTGGATGTAGGTCTAAAGATGAACATACTCGGATGAGAGATTTAAACTTGGCAACATTTACAAGAGCCCACAACATTATGGCTTTGCATGGAAAACACAAGACCAAAGCATTAACTATGAAATTGAACGGTGAATATACATATTGTACGGCATGAGAAAACTGTGAAGGAAACCAAAATAACAACCTTCAAGTCCATGCAATCATAAGACCAACAACTAGAAGAATACCAAAAATCACTTTGAAGTATTGAAGGCACAAGCGTTCAGTCTAAACTGTAAATACATTTTACATCTTTTGAATTTGAGAAAGAAAGAGAAGCCATGACTACCTCGTTCCTAGTAACTTCATGGAATCAGAGGCAAAAGTCATATCTGAAATGTACTCCTCATGAGCATTAAAAGTGTTGCAGCAAGAACGCTGCCGGGTATCCCATACCTGTATTGCAGGGAATAACCAAATCATAGAAAGAAAATGAAGGATTTAAATCAAACTTCCTCAAAAAATTATACTAAACAGGCTCAACCCTTGATGATTGGCAAAAACGCATGGCATTCCCTTGGGAAACCGCAAGAGGAACCAATAAAAAATGCTGGCGTGATGTATAATAGCGCTCTTAGTCCAACTGAAAATATGATGACAGTAGGTGCATGGATGATATTAAGAAATAAGATGGAAACACAGGTTCCTTTGCTAGCTCCTCACCATGAACCAGAAAGTGTTAGGATAAAATAAGAAGAGAGGGGCGTAAATTAACCACATATCATGAAAGCAAAAGAATAAGGATTTAATAAGCTGCAAGACAGCGATGCTTTTCAGACATTTATGGCTTTCAAAACCCAACATCTTTCATGTTTAAAGATAATTGAGCAGATGTAAATCTCATGGAAATTCCTAGGTCTCACTATGGATAAAATACGACTTGTTGGAACTTGTTTTCATCTGTGTCACACTTCTAGTCATTTCCGTCAACTAAGATAGTATATCATAGCAAGAAGAAGACAACAAAAAATGGGAGACCAATTTTCCAGATTAACATTTCGACCTAACCTTCCTCGTCACATAAAAAAGTTTAAATTTATACGCAATTCACCTTGATACAGCCATCGTCGTCTCCAGATGCAATGGTTGATTCAGTTAAATTAATTATTCGATTCACAGCAGCCCTGTATTAGAATCGACCACTTTGACTTAGCTTGTATTTATGTTCATTTATATAGAGTATAATTCGTCAATGGCACATAAAATTATTTCGGTACCAACCCATGAGAATTCTCCAGCCTCACAATTTCTGATCCTGTTTCAATATCAGTGGCAAGAATAGAACAGTCTGGAGAACCCGTCACAATTGCTGAAAACAAATTCAATTTGAGAAAAATCAAAACAAATTGCACTGCAATCAGTCGTCGTGCTCTGAAGAACCTACTTTAATAGTAAAAAATTAATAATACTTTAAATAAACTAATTACCACGCCCTTCGCTAATAAAGCGGAGTGCTCTACATGATTCGGTATGAGCAGACACTTCCAACAGCCTAATTATCAAAATTAACAGCTAAATCAATCAGAAAAGCGAAGAAATAACATGATTCACAAGCACGCCAACAGGTGTACGCAAACATGGGGTGTTAAATTTCACCTTTGAGGTTGAGATTCAGCAGCAAAACGATACCTAACACGAAATAATATAAATAATTTATCAGCCAAAATATTTTACTTGCTAAATTTGCGCTTTCGGGACCAAAAAGAAGCAAATATATGGATTGAACTTACAGCAGAAGGTGACCGGTGATTAGCCCGGAAGCAACGAGATTATTGGAGGGATGAAAATCGAGGTCAAATGGAAGTTTTCCCAAATCTATCTCCATTACATAAAGTTGTGAAATATTTTATTGATAAAAAGTGAAATTTTTGTTTCAAGATGGGGGCTTTAGTTCAGGGAGGTCATTGAAGATGGCGAAATTTGGTGGCAGGGTTGGGGTAGAGTTGCAGGTATGACAGGGTGGTGGTTTAGGGTTTAGTAAGAAGATAAAAGTTGAGAAAGAGTAATATGGGATTTAAGAAAATATAAAAATAATTATGGAGGGTCATTGCTCACTCTAGTTAGAATTTTTTAATTTTTTTTCTTTTTCAAAATGTATTCAAAAATTAGGTTTTTAAATTAAATTCTTGCAAAACCCACTTACCTATTAGACATACTGTGAAAAATTCGCACAAAAGATCCATGTTTGAAACCTTTAGTACGAAATACCCTCGCTTTTTATTTTCTCAATAAAAAATTATAAAACAATGAATATACTCTCTCATTTATATAAAATAAATAAATAAAGAACTAATTACAATTATGATCCGAAAATTTTAAAAAATTACAAACGAATTCCAAATAAATAATTAAAAAATCAAAACTTAAAAAAAATGAATTCCTCTTCATCTCTCTCTCCCATCACCAATGTTGCCACTGTCGTAGCTGATCAAAATGTAAACTAAAAAAATAAAAAATCTATCTCCCTTCCATCCCCAAATCTTCAACACCCCCACCCCCTCTCCCCCAATCAAAATCACGGCCACTGTCACTACCACCACGTCCTCATGATGGTATATTGATTGTTTTAGGATAAACTCGATGGTCGGATGACTTGTTGAGAAAATGAGTGAAAATTGAAGACGAAGAATTAAAAAGGAACATATCTTGGAAGTTGGTGACCAAGGTGCAAAGCATTGAGAGAAGAAAGACATGCAGACTTGAGCTGTGTAAGTAAATTCAGAGACCAAGTTGAGCGCAAACCAAAAGGGATGCCATGCAATCGCAAGGGGTACACAGCTCAAGTGAAAATTATAAGGAATTCTTTGGAAATCTTGAAAAATTTTGTGCAAAATCTTAAAATTTCAATAGCGTGGGAGCAGCTAACCCCATTTCCCCACCCTAAATTCGTCCATGCGTAGTTGTCAATCAATATAAAGTTGTATAAACGTTAAAGATAATTATCTATACTTTATACAATCCATTTACATAATCTTGTGATTACATACGTGAAATGTATTACATTCGATATTCGGGGATATAACAATATACGACATTACAACTATAAACCATGCATAGACTAGGGAGGAAATGTGTAAAAAGAAACAGAGGTTCAGGACAATGGAGAAAACTACCCAAACAACCACTTCACAACCAATGTTGCAACAAACCCACAAATGTTGTTGAGGTAGTGCTTCTGGTTGTGCTTGTTGATGCTGTTGGGTTTTGGATTGGGATAGGAGTTGGATTTGGTTATCTGCTTTTTCAAATATAACTTCTATCGCATTTGTCCTTTAAAATCGTAAGTCTTCTGTTGCATATGTTCATTTAGCTTGTAAAACTCTTATTTCGTCTTCCAATCTTTACTTTGACCACAATAATCCATATATAATCTACCACACGAAGCAAGTACAAGCATTTTCCTTCCTTTCGCATAGGAAAAATCTTATGTCAAGTTTGATTCCGTACAAATATGTGAATAATTGTTTCCTCAATTATAAAACGTTGGGTCAAACGATTTGCATAGTCAAAAATATAAAATGTTTTCTAAATGATGCATGGAATAATGCGCATTTTGACATTTTGCCCTTCAACGCACCAGTATGCATGAAACTTGCGTCAGTTAACAATAGGAATTGATGGAATAATAATGCTATGTGTATACCACAAGGTGTACACAATGCATTACACCCCCTCACATGGAGGGGGGCCCACAAATATTTTATTGTGTGTGGGCCCCCCATCCATGTGAGGGGGGTGTAATACATTGTGTACACTATTGTGTACACAGAGCACAACCCTTGATGGAATTAACCTACAAGGATAAAATGTGCAAATTAATGAAAGATTGAGGTTAAATTAAAAAAAATCATATATAAGAGTGAAAGGTAGGGATGGCAATCAGGTTTGGCTTAGCCGAGAAAAGGTCCGAGCCAACTCCGCTCGTGGCCCGTGTCCACCGAGCCAAGACTTGAGTGACCTTCATTTTCGAGCAGCATCCCGAGCTTGAGTTGGCATGTGTGGCTCGACGAGCCATTCCGAGCCGGCTCGTGTAACATACCAAAAAGGCCATTTTTGGCATGTGATTATACAGGCAGCTACAGTAGCTGCCTTTTTGCAGCTTGCACACAAGCAATCTAGACTGCTTGCGTGCAAACATATGCTCATGTAGACAGCTGTATAGCTCCCTGTCTCTTGCAAGCAACTGCATGTATGTAGCTACCAACAACCTGCATGTAGCTGCCGATAGCTACACTAATTTTAACTGAATTTGAAATTAAAATTTTAAATTTTGTAAAACGGGCCATTTTTTTGGCCTATAAATGGGAAGGTAAAATTTTGGTTTTGAGATCAACTTCACTTAACAATATTTAATTTACAATATTCTATTTTTCAATACTACTCTCCAACTTCTTTGCTTTGATATTCAATTTCTTTTACTATAATTTTTCAATTTTAAGTGTTCCAAATGTCATAGATATCAATGAATTTTACTAGTGATGAGGTTAACCAATTAAAGAGTAGTTAGAGTACTCTATTCAGCTACGATGCATCTGAAAATGTTTCAATTGACTTGAACGATATTCAAGAGGAAGAAGTACTCGAAACTAAAAGATCAAAGAAAGAATCTCTGATTGTTGGTAACATATGACACGAAAAAAATTGGTGTTCAAAATGAAGTGGATATTTGGAAAGCATTTTGCAATTATTGTGACAAAGAACTTAGTTGGAAGCTCGATTTAAGCACATCTCATTTGAATAGGCACGTAACAATGACTTGTAAATCGAAACCAGTCGATCTCCACACAAAACAGACCGAGCTTGTGCTCGACGGTTCTGGTTCTACTATTTCCACATTCGTATATTTACATGAAAGATTTAGCGAAGGAGTGGTCGCAACTAAGATGTCGCTTACGGTGGTAGACTCTATTCACTTTACCCAGCTCGAGTAGAACAATCTTTAACCCATTTATATTTCTTTGTGTAGAAATATTCTTCACGTAGAGACTATAAAATTATGTAACAAAAGAAAACAAGCTGCTATTGAAAATCTAAATTTTTTTTATAGTGTTATATCATTTACCCTTGATTCATAGATCGGTGGTAACAAAAGATGTTATATTGTTAATACGACTTATTACATCGATCACCTTTGAATTCTATATAAAATGATTATTGCATTTACATTAGTAAAATATCCGCATAATGTCACTAGCATATACTTGATTTTAAAAGATATTATACAAGAATTTAGTATGCAAGAAATTATTCGAAATTTTACTTTTAACAATAATAGTGTAAACAAAGTTGTTATTAAAAAATTTATTAATGATCTGAACCCTGCATTTGGAAGTTTTTTTTTCATATGCATTGTGTATGTTATATTATCAATTTGATTGTAAAAAATGGTTTAGAACATATAAGAGGACAATTAGACAAGCAATAAATTTCATTGTTGTGTCACCATAAAAAAAAACATTTAATAGTTTGTGTACATAGCATAATTTAGAGGAGAAATCATTTACCATTAATGTAACACATAGATGTAACTCTACACCTGAATGTGGAATTATCACATGTACTTATAGAATCTTTATTTTGTGAAATGTATAACTATTATGCTAAAAAATGAGGTCAGAGTAGTTCTAGTTTACAAAGTATCTTTTCAAGAAATACTATAAGGAATTTTGATGATATATGGAATTTTTTGAACGCCAATACTAGTGTTCCCTCATTTAGTTCTAATTCATCTATATCTAGAATAATAGATATTTGTGGTATAGATGTTGAAATTCACTTTAAGTTAGTTAGGTATATGTGTGTGGACATTCGTAGTGTGTTACAATCAAAAGAATTAAACGAATTTGTTCTTCTATCATAGTGGAAGTGTAACGAAAGACAATATCTAATTGTATCAAAAATCGCACGTGATCTACTAACACCTTCGGTGTCTACGGTAGTATCGAAAGTTGCATTTAGTAAGGTTTTACCAGACGAAACGATCAATATTAAAAGAAGACATATTTGGGGCTCTACTATGCTTGAAGGATTGGGAATGTGCGGAATTACGTTTTCAAGAACAAGCTGCTAGTATAATGGTCGAAGAGTTACAGCAGATTAAAGGTTAAAGCATATGGAATTACGTTTTCAAGAATAAGTTGACACTATAATAGCTTAGGAGTTGCAACAGATCCAATGATAGGATATTGTACTTTTAAATTAATTTGTTGACTTAATTACGTGATTTTAAATTCATTCATTTGAAAAAAATTGTATATGAAATATTTTATTTGTGTACAGTTTAACTTTTCTACGTTTATTGTAGTCGATCTCTAACTCAAAAAAAGTAGAAGGGATGTAATTTTTTAAAATCTATAATTAGTATAAATTGCAAAAAATTTATATTAGTAAAAAGAATTTAGAATTTCACGATTAAAAAAAAGTCGGCTCAGCTCGGCCCTTAGCTTAAAGCTCGAGCCCAGCCTCGATTTTTCATTCAAGCTGCAACTTGGGCTAAAAAATTTTGAACCAATTTTTGCATGGGCTGTGCACGAGCCGCGAGAAACTTGGCTCATGAGCAATTCAGCTCATTTACATGTTTAACAAAAGGTTGGGGACAATGTATAATTTAGCCATTAATAAAAAGGATAACTGCAGCAAAAGTCTCAAACCTTTCAAACACTAGCAAACTCTCCCCAAACATTTGATTTGTTGCAACCATCACCCATAACCTTTTCAAACGTTTTAGAGGAGGCCCTTTTGGACGGTTTCCATCCAAACGTCCGTCAGTTGACCACCCAAAAAAAGATTGACCACTTTTTACCAAAATATGGGAAGGTAAATTCG